CCCTGGTCAGTATTGCCCGGGACCTGGCAATTAAAATGGCAGTGAGATCAAACACAGCAAACGCCCAGGCTAGCTCGTGGAGACAGACCCGTAATCCCTGCACTCAGGAGGCTGAGGCAGGAGACTCTCTCGAGCTTGAGGACAGCCTGGACCAAACCAAAACAATAACAAAACACCTTCCCAATGAAATAGTACTGCACACCTAGCAGAACGGCCAAAATACCTAATGACAAACGACAAGTGGAGGTGAGGATGTGGGGAAGATGCAACTCTCATTCGCTGCTGTGAGGACTTGGTGTGGTTTGAGGGAGAATGGTCCCCATAGGGTCATGCATTTGAATGCTAGGTCACTAGTTAGTGGAAGTGTTTGGGAAGGACTGGGAGGTGTGGCCTTTTGGGAGTAGGCGTGGTCTTGCTGGAGGATGTGTCACTGGGGTGGGCTCTGACGTTTCAAGAGCCCACACCAGGCCGGCTCTCTTTCTGCCCACTGCCTGGATCAGGGTGGAAAACTCTCGGCTACTGCTCCAGCACCATGCCTGCCTGCTGCTGTGTTCCCTGCGTGATGATAATGGAGTAACTCTCTAAAACTGTGAGGAAGTTCTCAGTTAAATGCTTTCTCTTTTAAGTGGTCTTGGCCATGATGTCATAGCAGTAGAACTAAGACAGAAGGTACTATGGAACAGCTACTTTGCAGGACACTTTGGCAGCTTTTCTGATGTTTTCAGCAGGGTCCTGTGTATCCCGTGCTGACCTCAGGATCACTATGATGCTGAGAATGATCTTGAACTTCTGATCCTCCTGTCTCCATCTCCTGAGTGCAGGGATTGTGGATTCACACTGCCGTGCCTAATTTATGTGTCCCTGTCACTCGTCACTGCTGCCTGTAAAGGTTGAAGAGACTTCCACCAAAATTTCCCATGTACATTGTTACTATGTCTATTTACAGATGATCAGGAGAAATGATGAATAAAACTAACACTTCAAAGATTCAGGACTCTTAGTGAGAATCTTAGTGAACCCAAAGAAGGTTAGACACAGAGAATATCACATCCAGCCATATCACAGCCATGTCTATTGAAAACTAAGGCTAAGGAGAAAATCTTAAAAACCAAAGGGTAACACACACACACACACACACACACACACACACACACACACACACACAGAGAGAGAGAGAGAGAGAGAGAGAGAGAGAATCAATTTAAATTTATTTCTCATGAGAAACTATGTACTATGTAAGCAAGAAGGTCATAGAGCAAAGCCTTAAAATTGCCAACATATAATCTTATAACCAGCAAAATATCTTTTAGAGAGCTGGAGAGATTAAGAACACCGTCTGCTCTTCCAGAGGTCCTGAGTAGAATTCCCAGCACCCACATGGTGGCTCACAACCATCTGTACCTTCTAATGCTCTTTTCTGACATACAGGTGTACATGCAGATAGAGCACTCATATATATAAAATAAATAAAATCTTTTAAAAATATATATCTTTTTAAGTCCAGTGGTGCACACCTTTAATCCCAGCACTCAGGAGGGAGAGGCAGGCAGATTTCCGTGAATTCAAGCCAGCCTGGTCTACAGAGAGAGAGAGAGTTCCAGGACAGCTGGAGATACACAGAGAAACCCTGTCTCAAAAAACAAACAAACAAACAAACAAACAAACAAAACCCCTTTTAAAAACTAAGCTATAATAAAGAGTATCTTAGCTGGGCATAGTGGTGCATACTTTTAATGCCAGCACTTGAGAGGAAGAGACAGGCAGATCTCTGTGAGTTCAAGGCCAACCTGGTCTATATAGTGGAGATCCTGTAAAGTATCATACTATTGATTGTTTTTTTAATTCTTATTTTATGGTAATGTTTTGCTTGCATGTATGAACGTGCACCGTGTGCCTGCAGTGCCCGTGGAGACAGAAGGCGGCACTGGCTTCCCTAGAGCTGGAGTTGCAGACGGTTGTAAGCCACCACGTGGTGCTGGGAACCGTGTCCAAATCCTCTGCAAGAACAGCAAGTGCTCTTAATCGCTGAGCCATCTCCCCAGCCCCAGTATTTGTTTGTTTGCTTGTTTGTTTTTAATACAGAGGCTATAGGCTATGCTGGCCTGGAACTTACTACATAGCTCCAGCTGGTCTCAAACTCTTGAACCTTTTGCCTCAGCCTCCCATGTGTTGGGAATGTAGCTAGCTATATGCCAGCCCACCCAGCTTGCTTAATGGCCATCCATTGCAATGCTGTGGATTGAACTCAGAGCCTCACAAAACAAGAGTTCTAACACTGAGCAACACACCATCCCCTAAAAATAGTTTAGATAGGCTATGTGAGAGACTTGTACTATGAGAAAAGCTGAAGGGTTCTCTTTAGGCTAAAAAAAAAAAAATACTATCAGATATTATATTGGTTAGTCTTTCTTGTCAACGTGACACAAACTAGAAGCACCTGGAAAGCACGCTCAGTTGAGGAACTGCCTCCATCAGCCTGGCCTGTGGCCTATCTCGGGGTTCACTCTGATTGCTGACTGATAAAGCAGGGTCCAGCCCTTGGTGGGCAGTGCCTCCCCTAAGCAGGAAGCTGGCTTGAGCATTTTAAGAAAACCAAGCCAGTAACTCATATTCCTCCATGGTCTCTGCTTTCGTTCCTGCCTCAAGCTCATACCCTGGCTTGCCTTAATGATGGACTATTATAACCTGTAAGCCCAACACACCTTTCCTTCCCCAAGCTGTCTTCTGTTGGGATGTTTATCAATCGCGGCAACAGAACTCTAACCAGGACAGACAGAAATCTGAATCTATAGAAAAGTACAATATTAGAAATGAGACACACGTGAGTAAGTTTAAAGGACCACAGTTATCCCTCTGTATTCATGTGGAATTCACTTTTCTGTGGGTACCAAAAGCCAAAAGTTCAAATCCCTCAATAAAAGGCTTAGTCTTGTGTTTAACCCGTAGGTGTATAGAGAAGAGTTCATCTGACTCTAGATCCTTCAATACTGATGAAAATGCTCTGTAATAGCTGCTACCATACAACTCAACAACTAACAGTAAGAACCTGTCCTGAGCTGGCTGCGGTGGTGCACGCCTATGATCCCAGCACTCAGGAGGCAGAGGCAGGCGGATCTCTGTGAGTTCAAGGCCAGCCTGGTTTATTTAGAGAGTTCCAGGACAGCCAGGGCTACACAGAGAAACCCTGTCTCAAAAAACAAACCAAAAGAACTAGGGCCTGATGGCACAGGTGGGCAATCCCTGTTACTTGGGGTGTTGAAGCAGGAAGATCACAAGCTCGTGAGTCTGAGCAATTTAGTTAGATCCTGTCTCAAAAGGGGGGGGGAGGGGCTGGAGAGACAGCTCAGTGGTTCAGAGCACTGGACTGGAGAACTGGCTGCTCATGTACCCATGTTGGGTGGCTCACAACTGACGTGTGGCCTTCTCTTCTGGCCTCCAAGGGTAGACTACCCCCGCTCCCCTACACACACATACACATATGCACACACAAAATTAAATCTTAATAAAAAGATGGCTAGGGATGTAGCTCAGTGATCAGAGTCCTTGTCTGAGCATGTACAAAGCTCTGGATTTGATCCCCAGTAACCAGGAAAAAAAAAAATCATTTAAAAAAAATCAGTACATGGCCAATATGGTGTGGGATTTTTTTTTTTTTGGTAATATTTTCAAATCATAGTTTTACAAACTACAGCTGCAGAATATGTAGTGTTTAAATTTGTATCTTATTTTTTTAAAGCCAACTGACTTTAAAGTAGTGATGATGATGACAATGATGGCCTGGGATGAGGATTCATGATAGATCACTTGCTAATGCCTGCTTCTAATACCCTGGGTTCAATTCTCAGCATCCTCTAAAAGTGTTGAGGGGCTTATGACGTATGAAGGAGTGGAGTGCAGAGCACAAGAAGAGGATGAAAATGGAACAACACGCAGCGGAACTCATCTACGTGAGCACTGACGTACACTCACAGTTGACACAGTACACGAAGCATTATGTTAATTCCTGTAAAACGTGAGAAGGGGAGGACAACGCTGTCCTTAGCAACTGTGAAAAAAAATCAACACAAATAGGGATTGCTGAAAGACTATTCCTGGCTACAGTGGATCCCAAGCTATTCTCTCCTGAAGAAGGCAAGTGAGCAGGCTCAGAAGAAGGGCGGTGACTAAAAGAAGTAAAAGGCGGCAAGAAAAGGAACTGAAAAAGATGGGAGAAGCAGACGCCAACTGCAGATGGTGAACTTGGAAGCCCATTGATAATTATGCAGGTAAATGAAAATATCGATGAACTAAATGGCAGACTGTCTGAAAAAATGCAAAGCTCATGCTGTTTACAAGGGAGGCACTTTAAATACACTGGCACCGGCATACACAGATGGCAAGCATTACAGCATTGGCGTGCTTACTTTAATAGCAAACAAGGCAGAATTCAAGATGCATATTCTAGAGATATAAATATTGATTCCACAAAAGCAAAGCCTAAACACATATCTGCTTAATAACAAAGATTCAAAACACACAAAGCAAAAATTGGCTACAGTAGAGAGAGAAAAGGACATATCTACATTCAGAGATGGAGAATGAAAATGAGAAGTACAGAGCCAAAGAGACAGGAACAGGGGCTGCAGAGATGGCTCAGGGGTTAAGAACACTCACTGGCTGCTCTTCCAGAGGACCAGGGTTCAATTTCCAGCACCCACATGGCAGCTCACAGCTGCCTGTAACTCTAGTTCCAGAGGATCCGACACCCCCACGTAAATAAATATGTAAGCAAACAATAATTTTTATAAAATAAATAAAGATTAAATTTTTAAAAAGGGAGAGTTAGGAAGAAATGAATACAGAGCCACAGAAAGACAGACTACAAAATCTAGATGATGGGTCCCGGCAACTGACAGAGGGGGCTGTCCTGAATTACACAGGAGGATGGGGTGTCCAGGTTCAAGGAGCTTGGGCTGACGGGGTCCCGGAGGGGTGGGCATAGAGGAGATTGCGTCACTTACCGGCAACCCCATAAGACCTTGGGGACCAGGTTCTCCAGGCAGTCCCTGTATCAGCGGGGTGAGAGAAGTAAGTTAGCTGGTGAGAGCTGTCATCTAGGGACCCTGGACGCCCCAGAATCCCCCCCATCATCTGAGTACTCACTCTCTCACCCTTCTCTCCTGGGTGGCCGGAGGTTCCTTTGGGTCCAGAAGGGCCTGGGGTTCCCTGCACAAAAAGAGAAGGCCTCAGCCTTGTGCTGAAGTAGGTAGGACAGGGTAGACAAGGGGTGGGGAGCCAGGAACTGGGAGGGAGCCCCAGCTTGGCCCAGGCCTCCCCATATGCCCAGCACACAGCAGGCAGGTCAGACTGTTAAAGAGTTCTGGAGCGAGACATCCCCACCCCCTGTGCTGGCTGCAGCCCGAAGAATCGCCTTTTCTCGGCCTCAAGGGAGAATAACACTTGTTGGGTGAATTAGGATTTATGGAAAGCACTTAGCAAGTCAAAGCACTTACTGAACGGATGGGTGAACAGGCGGGTGAATGGAGTTACGCACGGGTGGAAGAACATGGATAATGACTTACCATGTGTCCAGGACTCCCAGGGGCACCCGTGGGGCCAGGCAGTCCAGGAGGACCTGAATAAAACAGGATGTCTTCAGGAACAGAGGACCACAAGGCTAAGACAGTCCCCATTGATACCAGCAGCCCAATGCCATTGCTTCTTAACAACTCCTTCCCTTCTCCAGGCCTGGACCCAACTTACCCATGGGCCCCGGGGGGCCTGGAGGGCCTGGGGGCCCAGTGGGTCCTTGGGGCCAGTGGCTGCCGGTCTCAGTGAAGGTATTAGACAGTAATGGATCCCCTGGGAGAGAAAAGATAGTTGAGTGTGTGGAACTGGGGGAGTGGGCAGTCAGTCATCGCCTGCCACACGGGCTCTGACTGCCCTACAACACATACAAGGCCATGAGAACCTGTTGCCAGGTAGAGAGGAAGGGAGACCTGTGTTCTAATTCTACCACGGTCTAGCCAGTGACATCCAGAATGGCTCTCTCCTTTGCTGACCCTGTTACTGTTTAGCTGCTTGAGTGAGAATAATTGTGAAAGCTGCCTTTTACCAACTGTCTACCTTGTTTCAGGCTGCTACGCACTGAGGATCACAGAGCCCGAGAGGCTGGCACTGTTGCCGTCTGCAACAGTTCTCTGAGGCCTGGATGGCAGCCAGCTCTGAGGCCAGGTGATTCTGAGCACATGGGTCCAAAGCCTCTCCCCATCTCCCCAGTGTGTGGGCTTGGCACATGACCTTCCTCTCTAACCTCAGTGCCCCTTCTCTGTGACAGAGAATGGCAGCACCTGCTGAGCAACTGGGTGACGACTGTGCAAGCAGCACACAGAGGGCACCTGACAGACGGCAACAGGGACCAGGGTAATGACTACCCTGGCTTCAGTCACCCCACCTTAAACCACTGGGACCCCAGGGGGACTTACCATGCAGGGAGATCTGAGCATGGGGTGGCCCAACAGGGGCTGGCAGCCCTGGGGGCCCAGGAGGCCCTGGAGGGCCCGGAGGGCCCATCTTTCCAGGGACGCCCGCTGCTCCGGTCTGGCCAGGGCGTCCTGGGGGGCCCTGTGGACCTGCAGTGAGAACAGGGATTGGGTGTGGGAAGGCCAGGACAAGGAAGTCTGGAGCAGTGGGGACAAAGGCTCTGAGGTGCACAGGCCTGTCCTCTTGCCCAGTGTCACAGGGAAGAACCCAGCCAAGCCCTTCTAGCTTCCTTCTGTGGGGCCCCAGAGCCCCCGCTGTGCTCCACAGAACCTGAGGCAAGAGGGGTTAGGCATTGATGTTTCTTGCCCCATCCTAGAGGCAAAAGACTGGGTTTGCTTCACCCAGTGTACCCACCCAGCTCACGGTCTGCTGAGAGAAGAGCATGAGCTAAGTGGACCAAGACGGTTTCACAGCTCAGGCATGAGCAGGCACCACTGGGGGGCTGCTGAGCAGAGGAGAGTGGAATGGGCCTGTCCACCTTGACTATGCCAGTGTCGGGAAAGGCATCCGCTGAGTCCCCAGGCGAGAGGGATGCCCACAGGACCTGGAGAGAGCCAGCTGGTGGGGGGCATGCCTTTTATCCTACCACTTGGGAAGCCGAGGAAGGTGGACCTCTGTGAGTTCAAAGTCAGCCTGCTCTACACAGCAAGCTCCAGGACAGCCAAGGTTACATAGCGAAACCCCGGCTCAAACAAACATACAACGCAAAACAAACAAACAAAAGAAGAAGGTTGGGAGGCAGGCCTGGGGGTACTTACCTGGTGGGCCTCTCATCCTTACTGGGCCCCGGCTGCCAGTGTCGCCCTTAGGGCCAGTGGGCCCATGCAGCTCCCAAGGATCAACTCTGTCTGCAGATAAAGACCATGGACTTGACCTCTATGGGTTGCATTTGACCCCCACCCTGGCCTGGCCCCTCAGCTCCTACTATCTTGAGGTAGCTGTGCACCCCTCACACTCCCACTAGCTCCTAGCAAACCTTGGGTCCAGGGGTGAGGCGGGGGTAGCATCCCTGCTAAGTCCCCTCCCTGAAATGGAACCCACTCACTTCCGCTTCCCAGACCCCAGTGCTGGGGAGTCCCAGGTGCCTCCAGTCACACCCCCTGGAGAGCTGGGAAGACCCAGCCCTGCCCTGAGGAGTCATACGGGGCATTTCTTCTACCTGAAACATCCCAAGGGGGTAGACGCCCCGCCCTGCCCCTTACCCCGAGGGCCTCCGTCTCCAGGGCTGCCCTGGGCACCTGGGGAACCCCAGAGCAGGGCAGAGTCCTCAGGGGCAGCTGGGATTGAGGACACGCTCAGCACAGCCACCTGTGGAGGAAGAGGAAGAGAGAGATGGGGCGGGTGCCAGGAACTCACTAAGGACAGTCCAGCCAGGAGGCGGTGGTCTTGGGGGGCCCAGCGGTTGAGTGGAGCCCAGAATGTCATCAGAAGCGCCTGGTCTTCAAGACAGACAATTCATAGTGAGCGCCGTGGAACAGTCACTCTGAACCCCCGCTGACACCCAGCTGAGCTCCGCGACTATGGGCAGCACAGCAGCGGTGCTCCTGTCAGGGGGCTGGGAGGAGCTGGGTGTGAGTCTGTGAGCGTGTGCGAATATGTGTGTGCGTGGATGTGTTGAGTGAGTGTGTATGGGTGTCGTATGCGAGCATGTGTGAGTGTGTATGTATGAGTGTGTGTGTATGTCTGTGTATGTGAGCGTGTGTGCAGAAGATTGAGCCAAGTGCTACACCACTGAGATTTTTCAGGGAAAACTGGGAGGGTCTGACACTCCACACCCACACAGGGCCCAGGATGAAGAAGATTCTGGAAGTACCCCGAGCTCCCGGCCAACCGTCAGGAAAAGGAAAGATGGCCCCTGACAACGGTCCGTGCCCGCAGCAGAGGGCCTGTAATTATGTGACCGCTCCTTCTGGGAGCTGGCTCGCAGCGCTCCCCGTGACAGTTAACACTTTACTGAACTTCCTCATGTCCCATCAGGACACGTTCCCAGAGGGAATAACAGAGCAGAGACATAGTCTGTACCCGTGCATGCTCAGAAAGCCTAGAAGAAAGATGTCTTAGGGCCAGTGAGCCGGTCCAGCCAGCCAAAGCTCCTACAGCCCAGACTAACGAGCCGAGTTCAATTCCAGGGACCCACACAGTAAAAGAGAAGAACACCCCAAATTGTCCTTTGGCCTCCGCAGTGTGGCACTCACATGCCACTGAACACAAATAAGCACAATTTTTTAAAATGGTAACCAGGAGGTTGTGGTGCATGCCTTTAACCCCAGCACTCAGGGAGGCAGGGGCAGGCAGATCTCTGGGTGTTCAAGGCCAGCCTGGTCTACAAAGTGAGTGCAGGACAGCCAAGGCTACACAGAAAAACCCTGTCTCAAAAAACCAAACAAAAAAACAAAAACAAACAAACAAACAAACAAAAAAAACCCAACAAAAAACGGTGAATATTGAGTTGGAGACCAGACTGGTCTATGGTCTATATAGAGTTTCAGGCCAACCTGGGCTACACAGTGAGACCCTGCCTTAAAAACTGACAGTTTTCTCTCTGGGGCACAGTTAATCTCTGTAAATAGTTTTCTGGATTTCTGAGGTTTTTCTGATTCTAAATTCAGAATCTTGTTTATTGTCTTATTTTGCAACTTTAAAAACCTTTTGTTGTTGTTTTAGTTTTGGTTTTTTATTCCCCCCCCCCCCCCAAGACAGGGTTTCTCAGTGTAGCCTTGACTGTCCTGGACTCACTTTGTAGACCAGGCTGGCCTTGAACTCACAGAGATCCACCTGCCTCTGCCTCCCCGAGTGCTGGGATTACAGGCATGAGCCTGGCTGACTCTTTAAAACCTTATCTTGATATAACTTGAGATGTGTAATGGGCATTTTCATTTTCACACTGGAAGATGGTATGGAGGGGCAGGATAAAGGGTAAAGGTCAGAGGCAGGCAGGGTCTGGAATGTGTCTTGGCTTCTCTGGCTGAGACTGAGCTTCACGGGAGGGGGCCTCCCAGCCTCCTGGATGGGCGGTGTGCCAGGCTGTAGGGCTATGCCCCAGTTTCATGGGGAAGGCATGAGGAGCTGATGGACGCTGGCCTATGCCTGCTGCAAAACAGTCTGCCCAACCCAGGAGTTGCCCTGAAGGTGGAAGCTCAGAGGGTGGGGTGGGTGTGGGGGCACAGAAGGAGTAGGGGAGGCCAGCATCTCTGAGGCCCAGGGCAAGAGGGGGTTCTCACCCACCTTGGACTCCAGCACCTTCAGTCTCTCCGTCAGCTCAGACACTTTGCTGCAGTTGAGACAACCTGTGTGGAGGGGGAAGGCTGGGGCTAAGGCCAGGTCTGCTTACAGGCCTCACCCCTGATAATCTGCGGGGGAGTTGCATGGGGCTGAGCTGCAGAGTCACTGCAGGCCAGGCAGACGATACCCCTTCTATTCCAGAGTCCCCAGAGAGGAGCTGTTCTCCAGCATAGGCTCTAGGGCCCTGGTTCTGGCAGTCTAGGGATCCAAATGATCCCATCCTCAGAGTGGCAGGCAGGAAATCCTGTTTCCTACTGGGCAGGGGGTGAAGCCTAGGCCTACCAGCTCTGAGGACCAACAGACCACAGTTTGGATGATGCTAGCCTCCCAGATAACATTTTCTGGCTGTGTCAAAGAGCCACATCCCAGCTTCTCTGGCCATCGCTGTATCCCTGTGTGTCACAGGAGCGGCACACAGGAGGCAGCAGAGTTTGTGACAAGGTGTGAGCACCTCACACAGTAACCTACACAGCTCAGAGGACCCAGGCACCAGCACTGTCCACTCCTGGCTATGGCACCTTGGGCAGGGCAAGACTCCACTTGACCCTCTGTTTCCTACTCTTGAAAGGATGCAACAAGGTCTTCTGGGCCCTGTGGGCAGCTGTGAGGTTTGAAAACATCCAGCTTAGGCCTCAGGCACCTCCGAAAAGCAGAGTTTAGTACAGAAGGGAAACTGAGAGGTTGGACCTGTAACTACAAAAATCCAGCGGTCACAGGTCTCAGTGTGGCTGGCCCAATTCGGACACTCCTCTGGGTATCTCTGCCTTGAGGCTGTCCAGGGGATGAGGTAACGCAGTATTACCCTTGACCCTCAACTTCTGGACCCAACTGGCTTCCAGAGACAACTGCCACACTGCCCTGGGTCCACCTTAGATCTCCTCCACCCAGAGGTCCCCAAGAGCCTGCCCCAGGACCCACCTGAGAAGCCTGTGGGCCGCAGTGACATCCGCCTCATGGTGCTGCCTGACCACGTGGGCTCCAGGAAGCCGGGGGAGCCTGCAATGGAGGGACAGCGAGCTAAGAGGCTGCTGCCTTGAGCTAGCCTTGGCTGGTGTGGCAGCCTTCGTGATGCTGTTACCCCAGTATGGACCTCTGTGTATACACACACACACACACACACACACACACACACTACATATATGTTGGTTTTTCAAGACAGGGTTTCTCTGTGTAGCCTTGTCTGTCCTGGACTCACTTTGTAGACCAGGTTGGCCTAGAACTCACAGAGATCTGCCTGCTTCTGCCTCCCCGAGGGCTGGGATTTCAGGCGTGAGCCACTGCGCCCTGATCTCTGCTCCCCCTTAATGCAGAGAGAGGCACAGGGAGGTGGGACCCAGCAATAAGGAGGCAGAGACAGACAAGGCTGGGGAGAGGGGCTACCATCCGAGAGGACCACACCTAAGGTTAAACACCTCCCCAGTGACCCCAGCTGGCGACAGAGCTAAGAGTTTAGAGTAGCAGACAAGCTCGGGTCCCAGCTCCTCTATTTATTCATCTGTGTGATGGGTCTTCTTTGGACCTGCCTATCCTCTCATCTGTAAAACGGAAGAGCAAGGCCAGGAGAGGGCGCTGTGTGCAGAGGGTCTCCTGTGCACATGCAGGGCTCAGGTCCCCAGTGGACGCTCAGCGATGCTGCCGTGCTGCTCTCGCTTCGCAGCCCACTTGGTCAGGAAGGACTGAAGTGACTTAAATGAAAGCCAGAAGGAGGCCGACTGCCCGTTCCAGGAGCCTACCCACTCTGCACCCAGAACCATCACCCAGCCCGGCTGGGCTGATTTCTTGGGCCGGTTTCCCACACAGCTGGAGGGCCTGGCCAGCCAAGCCAAGGGCAGAGGGCAGAGCTGGAGGGGCGCTGCAGCCAGCAGTGGTAACTGCCCTCCTCAGCCCCCTGCGCCTGCCTTTTAAGGCCATGAAGTGTCATGTTGGGGGGAGACAAGACCCAAATAAGGCACCAGCCTGGCTGCCCGGACAAGGGCTGTGGGCTGAGGCAGGCAACGAGAGGCGCCGGCAATGCGGACCAGACGGGTGTCTCTGGCCAGCCCCCAGGAGGGAGGCTGCCTGGCCCTTCCCAGGGACCCAGCGTGCACACAAATTTTTACTCAGGCTGGGCGACTTCCCTAACAGTCCTAGGAGCCTGCAATTTGCTCAGGTACAGGGGTTACAGGTCCTGTACATCCTATGGGGTACAGGATGGGGGTTTACAGCCCTGGACAGTGGCAATGATGGAGGAGGGGCTGCCTGAGGGGAGATTCCACTGTGAAGCAGGCCTTGTGCTCCAAGGCCCAGCACAACTCTCCAAGAGGCAGCCACTGCAGCTAACTCTCTCTCTCTCTCTCTCTCTCACACACACACACACACACACACACACACTCTCATACACCATTCCTGCACATATGTTTTGTTTTTGCCACTGAGAACTGGGACTATGAAGTTCTAACAGGAGGAAACGGCAGCCTCCTTTGGTGCCCAGGAAACAGCCAAGTGGATGAATGAATCCACTTGAATCCTCCCTGCTTTCCTCCTGGGGAAACTGAGGCAGAGGGATGAAGTAGCTTGCTCATGGCCCTCCCTCCCTCTGAAGTTCTTCATCTCATGACCAAACCCAAGCACAATGGGGGCTCTTTGCTGGTCCACCTGGCAGGAAAGCCCGGTGTCCAGCAGGAGATAAGCCAACTCCCTTCCGCTCTTCACCCTTTCTGTCCCAGATGAGAGCACAAAATGCTACTTTATTATTCTTTGGTGGTGGGGGGAAGGCCCAAAGCAGCACCAGTCTGTCTTTGGCATTTCTTTCTTTTTTGGGGGTGAGGTGGGGTGGGATGGGGTGTTGCACAGAGCCCAGGCTGATGCAGCCCTCCCTGTGTGGCCAAGGGTGACTGTGAATTTCTGATCCTCCTGCCTCCACGTCTCCTATCTCATGCTTACAGATGTGGGCCTCTATGCCTACCTTTCTTTATTTCTTTTAGAGCAGGCTCTCCCTGCGTAGCATAGGCTGGCCTCAGACCTGTAGTCCTCCTGCCTCGGCCTCCTCAGCGTTAGGATGAACAGTGTACACCAGCACCGACAGCATCTTTTCCCTTTTCCCCCCACAGCACTGTGTGTGCACACCCTTGAGGGCGTCTGATTACAGCATTTCCCCAGGTGCCCGCCACTTGTCTGCCCCACCAGGACAAGGACTGTCAAGGGAAGTCCTGGGAACCCCACAGGACTGCAAGCACCTCGAAAAAAACCTTTACTGTGAACACACACATCAAGACTAGCAAAAAGCTAACTTCCGGAAGTACAATAGCAGGCAAAACAGTGCAGGTGGCAGACACCTTGGCTGCCCCGAGGAGGAGCACACAAATGCTCTAACGGCTCTGGGGCTTTATCCCCGAGTTACTGGCCAGTGAACTTCCGGCTGGAAATCATTTTCTAAACAATTGGTTTGGGCTATGTAGCCAAGAGCCATAAACTACTAGAAAAATGGCCAAAGGGGCTGGGGAGATGGCTCGGTAAAGGGCTTGCTGAGCGAGCGTGAGGACCAGTGTTCATCTCTAGCACCCTTGTAGACGCTGGGTGTGGGAGCACACGCCCATAGTCCAGAGCTGGGGAGGAGGAGACAGGAGGCTTCCCGGCAGGCCAGGCTAGCCGAACCAGGGCCAGCGGTGAACCCTGTCTCGAAAGAAAAGCAGAGATAGTGAGGGAGATGAGTGTGCCTGTCCCCACACACATATCCACACGAGTTTCACCCACACCCAACACACATATGTACACATATACACATGGGCACACATGCCTGAACTCACACATGTACATATAAACACATGCCTGGAGCAGCGGTACAAAAGCCATTGTGTATTTCGGTTAGAGGAGAAAGTTTAGTTGGACATGGCAGGGCACACCTGCAGTTCCAGCGCTGAGGCAGGAAGATCAGGAGTCTGAGGCCGGCCTAGTATGCAGAGAGAGACCTTGTCTCAGAAACGTTCAGGTGGAGATGGAGAGATGGCGCTCACTCTTCCCTCAGAGTGCTCCAGTGTGGTTCCCAGCGTCCAGATTGTTTGGCTCACAACCCCATATAATTCCATCTCCACTGGACTGATGCCCTCTTCTCCTGTTTGGATATGCACACACATACGTACACACACAGAAATAGATCATAAAATTTGTTTTTAAAATATTTTTGGGAGCCTGAGAGATGGCTAAGAGCCATCTTGTTTTCCCTGCCACTCCAACACAGGTTTCTCTGTGTAGCCCTTGGCTGTCCTGGAACTTGCTCTGTAGACCAGGCTGGCCTCGAACTCAGAGATTCATCTGCCTCTGCCTCTCCAGTCTGAGAGAGAAGGGTGTGGGCCACCACCGCCTGGTTTAAGAGCTCCTGTCCTTACAGAGGCCCTGGGTTCAGTGCCCAGCACCCACACGGTGGCTCACAACCCCCTGGAACTCCAGCTCCAGATCTGGTGCGCATATGCACATGAGGGCAAAAAGAAAACATCATAAAAATAAGTGAGTCTAAAAGAGAAAAAAGGAAGTGTAGGGCTAGGGTGTGGCTCATTCAGTGGTGGGCTGCTGGTCTAGCACAGGCAAGGCCCTGGCTCCCCATCCTAGCAACAGAGCAGCATAAAAGAAAGGAAAGTTAAGTTTAAGGAAACAATAAAACTCAAAAGAGGGCTAGGAAACAGTGAGCGTACGTTCAGGAGAAACCAGCCAGACCTCCCAGAGCTCTGATAGAGATACTTGTAGAGCCCCGCCTTGCTGGAAGGGCCCTTTAGCGCATGCACACAGTGTGGTATTCGTGCTGTGGGTTGGGAGATGGCCTGCGATGGTTAAGTCCCTCTCATCTCTCCCACTGGCGTCTGGCTGGACACCCCAGATCAGGCTCAGGGTTGAGGCCCTCCCTGCCCTGACAGGAGGGCCCTGAAGGCTGGCCCCAGCACCTCAGATTCCACTAACTCTTGGACAACTTCCCAGGATCTCGGAGGTCCCCAAATGTTTACATGTGTGCACGTCCCTGGCCCCGATTCCTACAGCTACGGTTCCTATGTCAGCTCCTCTAGGAAGCCCTTCAGGTCTCCCACTAGTGCCAAAGCCCCGCTGAAACACTCATCGCTCAGCGGGCTCACCCCAAGGCTGGGGTGCTTTGCGGTTTCTAGCCCTGTGTCCCCCTCCTGAACCAAATGTTCTTCCACATGCCAGGCCACGGAAGAATGCTGAGGCCCAGAGTGGAGGTTTCTGCCCCGTCCACATGGCAGGACAAGGGGCCTGGGTTCTGAGGCTGCCCCAAACTGAGAACGAGGAAGGGAGAAGTTGGGCAAGGGTCTCCGGGCTCCCTCAACCCTGTGACTTTCCCCCCCACCTCTGCCCACCTGGCTGGGTGACCACACGGCCACAGCTTTCCTAGCTGGGTCATGTCTCTTGTGTGAATTTACTCTGCAAATGTAAATATTTGCTGATGACCAGCTGGTGGGTCTAAGCCGGGGCCTGGGGTCAGAGCTGGGACTCTCAGCTCCAAGAAGCCCTCCAGCCTAACCAGGAGGCCTCTGGGAAGGCTTGCCTCGCGACTGGCATGCTCAGGGTGGGCGAGCTTCGTTCAGTTTTCACATGCTCACTTTATGCCAGGCCCGTTCTAGGCACCGGAGCTGAAGGAGTCACGCTGGCACTGGCAGAGTGGAGCCAGCTTGGTCAGCCTTCTCTAGGCACACCAACGTGGCCACAGACAGACGAGATAGCCACCGCCAAAGCCAAAGAGTGCAGGGAGAGAAGGCTAATGCGGACACAGGGTATAGGGTGTGTGTGGTGTGAAGCGAGGTGTTGTGGGAAAGGTAGGTGGGCAGCACCTGGTGGAGTGAAAGGAAGGCAGGGTTGGCCAAGTCTTCCAGGCAGGGATGGGAGTGGATGGGTGGTGGACACGGTGGGATGACACAGGATTTAGCCCTCAGGACTCCGAGCCTATAAAGCAAAGCAGGGCTTGGCCCTGTACCTGGAACCTGGCTGGCACAAGACACACGTGTGTGGGAGAGTGGAGAGGCTGAGGGGCCCTGGAAGGGTGTGGCCACAACCCGCCTCACATCAGCCCTGAGGCTTCGGGGCTGCGGTGTCTAAGCAAATCTTCACGTTCAGTTCCCCAGCATGGAGAGCAAGGTCTTTGGGGGTTCCAGACAGGAGAGAAACACACATGTCAGAAGACGGTGAACCAAGGAGGGGAAGCAGACGCCACACGTCTCTAGGGAAGCCATCGACAGAGGAGGGTGAGCCTAGCTTCTTCAACTTTCCACCTGTCTGAGCATGCGCCCTGGGTTGTCTTCAGCTGTGCTGCTGCAGAGCTCAACCCCCCCCGGTGGGGCCCGGGGCGGCTCCCCGCCGGCGGGGCGGCAGCCCCCCCCCCCCCCCCCCCCCCCCCCCGTGCCCCAGCGCCAGCTTTCCCCTCTCTGAGCCTCACTGTGATGACTCAGAGGTCAGAGTCAGTTTCCCTTCCCCTTGTCATTGCAGGAGGGCCTGAGACAGGATGCTCCTGTGAGATCCTGTCTATAACACACACACACTATGAGCCATACCCTCTCTTTATCATCTGGATATGGGACTGGTGGACAGTGGGGCCACAGGTCCAGGTGCCAGCCCAGGGAGGCGGCTGAGACACTCTGCCTCCCTTCCAGCCAGGGGCCTGGCAGGGGGCCAGCTCTCTGCCTGCCCTGCCTGTGGAGTATATTTTGGCCTAGGATCTTTCTCATCCATTGTTTCCATGAGTGGGTGGCCAGGTAGTGCCCGGGACAGGCCATTTTTAGCCTCCTCTCAAAGCTTGGAAGGACCAAAGGATAGGTGAATCTCAACCTTAGCTCTGGCATGCTGTGTGACCCCAGGCCGGTCCCTTCCCCTCTCTGAGCCTGAGGGGACCCTCACTGGTGGTCATGAACAATGACCGAGACAGTCCTCACTCATGGTCACGGCACAAATGTCCCCATTCCATATGTGAGGAAACCGGCCCAACCCACTGGCAGGACAACCACTTGCTGAGCAGGTGACTGAGGCGCTGGGTCCCCACACCTGCTGTGTCACCCAGGAAACCCCAGCAGAGGTGACAGACTTTTCTGGCAGATATCTGTAAAAGATGTCAGGCCCAACTGTCCACTCTTTTTCTTTTCTTGATTTTGAAGTGGCAGCATTTCCCTTCCTCTGTGGCTGCTTTGGTCCCTGATGCCACTGGTGATACAGCTCTGGGGTCCAGGGTCACGGACACATCCATGGGATAGCCGTAAGAGAAGCCAACAACAGGGGAAGCAGCTGGGGGATTGTGGCTTATGTCCAGCAGAGGGAGGAAGGGCAGAGCCCAGGACGGGCCGGTGATGTCCTCACACTTCCCAACTGCCATTCCCAGAACTGTTTTCCAGACTGTCTGGGCTGGGCCTGTTCTCCTTAGCCCCCTCCAGCCTTGTACTCGGGAAGAGCCCTCCTGTCCCACGTGCCGCCATGCAGCCCGACACAACACCTCATTCCAGCAACATCCGGGGACTCCAGTCTCAGACTCAACAGTCTCCTGGGTGGGAGCCCTGAGGTTTGGAATGGAGAGCTTCCTGCGAAAAGTGTACCTGACCAGTTTGGTGTTCTTCACTGAAGAGCCACACAGACTGTTTGTGTTTTATTTTGAGATAGGGTCTCTCTGTGTAGCTCTGGCTGTCCTGGCCTCGAACTCACAGAGCTCTGCCTGCCTTTGTCTCCTGAGTGTGGGGACTGAGGTGTGTCACCACCATGCCCTGCACGCGCACTGGAGAGCTCCGGGCCAGGGCTCTTGCATAATGCCTTGGGAGTTCTGAACTGAGGTTTCACAGCTAGAGGGTGGTGAAGCTGGCCTGGCCAGGAACCCTGGGTATCTTGTACCCAGGCTGGGACCTGAAGGCCCCACAGAGGGAGTGACAGACATTGAGAGCACTCTGGCACACAGCCTCTGCCCCCACACATCCTTTACCCTCACCTGCTCACTAGGGCCCCGGAGATACAGTAGCCATTGTCTGATAAGGCCTCACCTGAGCGCCCACGCCCTGGGACCTGCCCACAGTACCCCTGTGGTCTCCTTGGCAGCTGCCCCAAGCAGCTGGCTTTCCTTGTGCCCTTGGGGCTCCTTCCACCTCCCCTTTTACTGCTGGGGAGGGCACTGGTCCAGGCTTCTAGTCTCCCAAACTGACTGCACGGTTCCTTCCGTAGGGGCGTTTGATCCAGGGCATGCCCAATCCTTTTCTCTGCAGCTCCCCTCACCCCTATCCCAGAACTGCCAAATCCTCTCCTGTGTTGTTTCTCATCAGTTTGGACCCTATTTTCTGCTCCCGGAGCTCTGTATAGAGGTAAGCACTCTACCACCGATTCCTGCCCCATTCGCGATGGACCCTGGGCTATCAGCTCCGCCTCTCTGCCTTCAGTTTCTCCATCCTGAGTCTGGAGGGAGGGGGCTTCCCTCAGCTCCTCACCCCCCCTGACGCAGAGCCCCACTTTCATATCCCTGTTTCCGGATTCAGGACATAATCTTGTGCTGTGGGGGCCTTCTCTAAGGCCAGGTTCTCAGGCTCATTCTGGGCCACTTTGTCCCCAGCAGGACCATGCCTGAAAATAAAGCTCTCGATCCTTTCACAGCTGCTGCTGTGGGCTCGGCCAGGCAGCGCAGCAGGCCAGAGCCCAGCAGCACAGACGGCAGGAGGGTCCAGGGCGAGCTGCAGGCTCCGGTACCGAGCCGCCCTGAGCTGGGTGAATGTGTGACAGGGTACCCATGGGTGGGACACATTCTGCACACGGCTACACAGGTAAGCGTACCCCAAAGACTCCAGGCAACAGAACCAGGCAGACAGGGCTTGCGTTCCAACCTGCCATGTAGCTCTGCGTGCCCATTGCTGGGCCTTAATCTCTTCTGATCCAGGGTGGGGTGCACTGTCCCCCCTTCCTAGCTGACTCAAATAGATCTTGGCCTCCAGCTCATCTGGGCTGTGGTATCCTGTGGGAACACCTGGATGGGTGCCCCCACCCTGACCCCGTGCGGAGCTTGAGTGTTGACCATCTCCACAGGCTGAGATGCTGGAACTTAGTCCTCAGGGTGGAACCATGGGTGTACCCGTTAAGAGGTGGGGCCCACGGGCTGGGGATGTAGCTCAGTTGGTAGAGTGTTTGCCCAGCATGCACGAAGGGCATGGTGACACACGCCTATAATCCCAACACTCAAGCGTTGGAAGCAGGAGGAACAGAAGTTCAGGGTTTATCCTGGCCTACATAGAAAGTTCAAGGCTAACTTGGGCTATAAGAAACTGTTGTTTAAAAAAAGAGGTGGGGCCTAGTAGGAGACGTCTAGGCCGCTGAGAATGTGCACTTACAATGGGGTGGGCACCCATACCCACTCCTCTTCTACATCAGCCATGAGCTGACCCCGGACATGATGTGTTGCCTTGCCCATAAGCCTAAAGCCCTAAGACCAGCCAGTCTTAGGCTGGAAGCTCCAAAATGTGAACCAGAATAAACCTTTTGCTACGTAAATGTATTGCCTGAAGTCTTTTGTCATAGTGATGGAAAGCTGTCTAACACAAGTTAGGAAAAAAAATAATAAGTGGGACAGCAGGACTTAAAAGGAGAGGGACACAGCAGACACGAAAATGCCCTGGGCCCCTAAGAGACAAGCAGTCACCATGAAGGGGACAGAAGGCATTGTAGGAATGGGAGGCCCTTCACAAACTGCCCCAGGTTCCGGGTCCCGGGCTTTCCTACCTTCCTCACAAGTCACCCCTGAATGTCCAGGGCAGCACCTCCATTCGCGGGCAGTCACGGTCTTGTATATCACCTTGTATATGGGCCTCACCACGGTTCTGTAGCTGAAAGAAAGGCCAGGCACCCTGGCTCAGATATCTTCCGCCATGTTTCCCGCTGCCCCGGATGCCGTGATGGCAAAGCCAGAGCTTCCTGGATCTTCTCCCACCTTCATTCTCGTCTTTAGCTCTTTACTAACCACTATGGCCACGGGGGTCTGGATTTCAACTGCTGGCTGGGCTAGCCTGCCCCTGTGAGCACACAGCTCTAGCATGAGCCCTCCGGGCGGAGGCCCTGAAGTTTCCTCCCTACACAATGCCGCCTCTGTCCCACCTATCCTGAGGCCCCCAGCCTTCCCCTGCACTCCATGCAGCCACCCAGGTCTTCACGGTGCCCCAACATGGACGGCCGGCCCTCCTGCCCCCTCACACTCACCTGCTCCCAGGGCAGCCCGTGGCCCACGGGCAGCTCTGCAGCACGCGCTGGAGGTAGGTGCCATTCTGCACATGGCACGAGATGGTACGGGTAACCACGTAGGAGCACCAGTTCCTGAGACAGACCCACAGAGGCGAGGCTCAGGCGGCAGGCCCGGGACTCCAAGAGGATGGATAAAAGGGACCGTGCGTCCTCCCGAGCCCCGAGCCTCCAGGCAGAGAGACCTCTGGGCTCTCTGTCTTTTAGGTGTAGTCTCTACAGAGCCTGTAGCTCCCGAAATAGCCCTAGAAGGGGTGGCCATGCTGGGGGCTCCCGGGAGGCCTCAGGGAATGTGCTGCAGGAGCAAGGTGGAGCAGGGTCTCTTCAGTGTCTGGTCTCCGACCTTGCTGCTCCACCCTACCCCCGGCCTCCACTGCCACCAGCTGAAGCCTTTTAGAAGCTCGCCTTCTCAGAGCCAGAGACTCTTCACCTATTTCTTAGGAAAAACCTTTCCAGCCAGGGATGAAGAGGCAAGCTCCGGGGTCAGCTGGAGCTGTGTCCAAGCCATGGCCAGCAACTACCCCACTCCCCGGAGCTCTGCAGCCTCGGTCTCCCACGCGTGGAGCAGCCCTTACATTAGGGCGCAAGAACTCAAACGAGGGGACAGCAGAAGGCAGGGCACTGCTCCGCGTGTGCAGCAAGTGTCACAAGCAGGCTGGCGAGGGTGTCTGAGATGGACAGTGCTCCACCACAGGGGCGGCCAATTGACAAGGAGAGTTTATCCTACGGTCATGCACAGGAACCTACACAGGCAGGAAAGCGGAGTGCTTGCTTGGCTCTCTCGCTCTCTCTCTCTCTCTCTCTCTCTCTCTCTCTCTCTCCTTTGTTGTTGTTTATTTAAGACAGGATCTCAGTAAGTAATCCAGGCTGGTCTCAACTATCCTCCTGCCTCTGGGACCCCAGGCATGCACTCGCCCTTTCTGGAAGGGAGCTTGCTCCTGGGTGTGTGTGGCAGCCGGTTCTCAGGCTAGCCTGCGGAGCTGTTAGCCTTTGGCTGTGGTCTTATAGCTGCTCAGGCTAGTCCCAGGCTTGTACCATTCCCAGCATTGGGACAATACTCACCTTTTTTCCCTGGGACAGAGAGTGCTCCTGCCAAGCCTGACTGTCCCTTCCATCAGCTTCCCCTTCCCCTGCACTTTTCCTACCCTTGGCTGGTTCCATCAAGGCCCAGAGAGATGAGGGAACCTTCTTAGTCTCAGGAACTGAAGCTTTCTCTTCCTGAGGGTGGGTGGGGGTAGGGCAGCTAGGGGTGGGGGTCGCTGGACTGGTGCAGAGACGGGGGTGGGGGTGGGGGCAGGGACATTCCAGGTGTTCAGCAGCCCTCAGCTCAGCCTGAGGTCAGGAGCCCAGGGGAATTTGCTGGGGCTCAGGAAGGAGGAGGTGGTATCAGGTGGCCTTTCTCAGCCTGGGCTGCTTCCCCAGCAGACTGCTCTTTGTGGCCTTGAGCCCAAGGTCAGCAGGTTCCCAGGCTGGGACCTTCACAGAGCCATGGACCATGTCTCAACCAACACAGGGAGGAGATGAACTAATGCCTGTAGAGTAGAGTCAAGGGCCAGGCCTGGCTGCCCATATGCTTGGGCTCAGATCTGGGCTCTGTGCCCCAGCTTGGTGACATGTCTTCTTTCCCCAGGGCCTCGATTTCCCCTCCAAAATGGAGGGATGTCTTTCTGACGGAGAATCATTTAAATACCCCTAGCATACAGTAAGTGCCCAATGTGTACGTTCCGACATCCAGATGTGCCAGTCATCTGTGCTCAAAGCACAGCGTCCTGGCTATGCCAGAGGGGGACGTCAGGATCAGTGAGGTAGGGCCTGACCTCTCACATCCACAAAGGGTGACAGAGATGAGCACAAAGCAGCCTAGTCCTGCATGATAGGGGGATGAGGGGATGAGGGGCTAGCCTCAGCTGGTCCTGAGGTAGCGGGGCGGGGGAGTGAAGGAGAAACATGGCTAGCTCCGTGCACTGTGCCCCCTAGCTGGGTGTGGTGGCTTGAGGCTGAGGATCGCTTGGCCTAGCCCAGGAGACTCCCACTTCAGAAAAATTAAAAAGAATGGCAAAGGGCACAGTGGCAAATGCCTGGTGACCTAAGTTGAATCCACTGGAACCCATGAAAGGGTGGAAAGAGAAAACCGGTTCCCCAAAGTTGACCTCTGACCTCCGCATGAGTATGATGTATCACACCAACACACACAGACACACAGACACACAGACATGGACTTGTTTGCTTTTTGGGATACGGTTTCTCTATGCAGTCCTGGCTGCCCTGGAGCTCAATATGTGGACCGGGCTGGTCTCGAACTTGCAGAGATCAACCTGCCTCTGCCCCCGGAGTGCCAGGATTAAAGGTATGCATCACCCTACCTGGACACATACAATCATTTTAGAGATTAAAACAAAGGAAGAGGAAAAAAAAAGTCCCTGCTCTGGAGAGCCAGATCTCTAGAGCTGGCCTGGAGGCTGCTTTGGTTGTGTCTGGAAGGTAAGGACATAAGCTCCTCCCTCCAAAGCGTGTAAAGCTGAATGTCCACCTCAGGGGTCCAGGCGCTCAGGCTGCCCCAGGGCTTCTGAGGGAAGGAGAGAGGAGCCCCTGGGCAGAGAAGGGAAGCCCAAGGCTCGGGGAGCCCTGAGGACGAGGCGAGCATTGTGTGAGCGTGCAAACGCATATGCACACACAGCACGGGAGGTCAGTGTGCACACACAGGCGGAAACTTTCACGGGCACGCGCACCTGCAAAGGCTTGGAAGTGTGCGGCCAAGTACATGCACAGACTCACAGAGCACACAGACTTGTACACAGTGATCAGGGCCCACGCAGGAGAACACGTTCCTGCAGAGAAGACTGTCTACCATGCCAATGTGCCACACACGTACGTACGTACGTACGTACGTACGCACGCACGCACCCTCCCCGTAGACAGATGGGGGTCATGTCCTCTGCATGTTTCCACACAAATATGCAGTGACTGTAGTCTCACCGTGCACATGTGTGCACTCAGACACAAACTGGCAGAGGCTGGTCCGGCAGGGCTCACACGCATGAGGGCTTGCATGCACACGCACAGGTGTCTGGGTTTCACGTGTATGTGGACACTCCCCACACCCAGCTCCGGACCAGGCTAGGGCCGGTGTGTCTAGAAATACCGCAGTCACCTCCGCTGTCCTTTTCCTTCGAAGGAAACCTTTTTTTTTTTTTTTTTCCTTCCTTAATTGAAGGTCTCACGCTGCTCCTGGTTATTTGCCACAGGAGGAACTCAGTGTAATCCCCCAGGGAGGACAGGTGAGGCCAGTAGCTGGCCACACATTGTATACAGGAAGGGACACTCGAACCAGGTGAAGTTCAAGGCCAGAAGGTCGCCTCCTCCACCTGGTGGTCAGCCTCACGGACCGTAGCACAAGCCCGAGGCCCGCCCTGGCCCACTCTCAGGAACATCAGGAGGTTTGGTTTTGTTTACATTTAATTTGTGCGTGTGCATGTGTGTGTGCGCGTGCGCGAGTGTACATTCCTATGCCTGTATGTGTTTGCACCTATAGTGTCTGCACTATTTGTTTGTACCGTATACATGTGTGCATGTATACTTGTGTGTGCGTGTATGTCCATTCCTGTGCATGTATATGTGTGTGCATGCCTATGTGGACAGAGGTCAGAGGCCAACTTGTGGAAATCAGTTTCTTTCTAATGTGGATCCTGGGAACTGAATTCAGGTCGTCAGGCTTGGTGGCAAGCGCCTTCACCTGCTGAGCCACCTCAGTGGTCCTTGCAAGAAGCTTTTTGCAGTGCTTGTATCGAATGTGGTCACTGCTTGCCAGGCTACCCTGACTCCCCGCTGTCCTGCAGGCCCTTCTCCCACTTCTGATGTGCAGGAACTATCTACAGTGCTCCACCCTATCACTCTGGCAATTCCTATTCAACCTGTGAGTCTCAACCCCAAAGACCAGGCAGGTACAGCAGTCCTGAGCCATACTCTCTCCCATGAGTGCAGGGAAGAGGGCACAGGCAAGGGCTGAGTCCATACAGAATTCAACCCTGCTCATGGGGGTTTGCTAGGTGACTGCATGCCTGAGAACACGGCAGCCTGGGCAGGGAAGTCAAGACCCAAGGTTTTCCCAGGAGGAGGAAATACTTCCATACCCTGCCACCCCTGAGGATTTTCTTCCCTGAGGTGTGGTCAATGATAAGGCGCCAAAAGTCAGGGAGGCTGGGTGGAGCATGGGCGAGGCTGGCAGGAGACATCCCTCTCTGGCCCCCACCTCTGCCCACTCGCTACCTCCAGAGCCTCCAGAGGCCACTGAGAGGGGGGAAAAAAACAGGCCAGACCAGCTCAGCCTGGCACCAGCCCTCCTCTCCAGTGGACCTACCCACCCACCCTCTACTCCCTGTAGCAAGGGGCCCAGGGGACTTTGTTTCCACAGGGCCCAGGGCTGTGATCCGGAACAGTGATAGGGACTAATTGCAGGAGGCAGCCAAGCGGGCCAGGGGCCAAGGGCCGTTATGAAAAGGAGAGGAAAGAACTGAGACAGGCCAGGGGGTGGGGGTGACAAGAGCCACAACCAGAACCACACCAGGATGCTGCTCCAGTCCCATGGCGCACTTTCCTATAGCTGTCAGGAAGCCTGGACACGGGCCGACTGCCTCTGACCTTGCTGTTCCCATCTGCAAATGGGGAGAGTGGAATGGCTTCCATGCAACGTGCTCAGAAAGCCCTGCTCCTCCTGGGGTCTGTTCTTCCTGGCCTAGGTGCCACAGTCAGCCATGGCACACCACAGCCAAGCAGGAGGGGGCCAGAGGCTTCCCTGGGGGCCCAGGACACCAGTTGCACAGACTTTACAGAGGGAAACGGAGGGTGTGGGGAAAAGCACCTGCCTAGGGTTAGCCATGTGGGCACAGAACTGGGATTTGTGAACGCTGGAACCAAGGACGCCACAGGGGCAGGAAGCGTCCTACCAGGATCTGCAGATTGACAGCAGTGATGTGTTCCAAGGTGGCTCCCCACAGCCCTTGGGCACCCTGGGCATAGGGGCTCAAAGTCTCACTGCATTCCTGAGGTTGGGGGTGGCCCCTTGGATGCCTTCCCAGGCCTCCCCCTCCTCAGGCACAAAGCCTCTTTCTGCCTTCAGTCCCTCGGCTGCCAAGGGGTGCCCGGGGCGCCTGGCTGGGAGTGGAGGGAGGGCCGATGGGGTGCGACATCCCCACGCTGTCTCCAAGATGCTGGGACAGGGCCATGAGGGGAGGCCCCGGCGGCCGAGGACCACAGATAACTCCAGCTTTAGGCCCCTCCTTAAAGGTGGGCACAGTGGGGCTCAGACGCTTGGCCTGCGCTGGTCTTCACTCTCACAACAGACCTTCAAACAGGAGAGGCAAAAGAGGAACCAGAGGCTCGTGGCCCCCAGCCTATAAGACAGGAGTGAGCACGGCTGGGAGGGCTTTGTGACAGACTGCTGTGACAGCATTCTGTAAAGAGATGGGGAACAGACCTGGTGAAGGCAAAGGTCCCACACAGGAAGCAGGATACAGTGGCCAGCGTGGAGGGAGGCAACTCGTCCCAGCCCCCACCGTTGCCCCTTGGCTGGAGGGGAATGCGGCCTTAACCTTTCTCACCCATCACCCCAAGGCTGAACCTGGGAAGCCCAAATTCCTAATCCCTCTCACGTCAGCACCTGGGATTCCAGGAGCTCCTCACTCTACAGATGGGATCGGGACAGGTGGTGTACGCCTCAGCCTTTGTTTCTGTCTCTATAAAACAGAGGTCATAAGAGAGCGGAGGTGCCAACCCTAACCAGCTGTGGCTGGCACACTGTCGGTGATGCTATGACATCTGCCACATGGCTGTCCCCGCCGAAGACAGCTAACTGCTCCGCTGGCCTCTATCGCCCAGCCACTCCTACCCCCTGGGCCTGCTCATGTCACCTGCTTGTGCTAGCTCCCCCAGGGCGGCTGGCCTCTGACCACTGGGAAAGGGAAACTTCTGAAAAGAATGAAAGAACTGAGTCCGCAGGGGGCGGGAGGGGGGCCTCGAAGGCCTCTGAATGGGCTGAAAGGCCTAAAAGGACTGGCTAGTCCACATTGTCTGTCCTGGAGACAGGGGCAGGGGCTGCAGGCAGAGCACGGGCCAGTGCAGGCTCAAACTCTGCCATCCGTACCAGACAGGGAGACCTGAATCCCAGCTCTTCCGTGAACAGCCCTCGAGCCTAGATTTTGGCCACCACCGGCCTCAGTTTACTCCTCTACTGAATGGGGGCAGTTTTCCCTACATCCTTCAGTTCCGAAGGACCCTGTCCTGGGAAATACTCCACGAAGGCCGGCAGAGAGTCACAGGCCTTCGGGAGGTCCGACCAAATGCCAGGTCCCAGGGGGGCCTCTGACACTGACCCACTGTGCGGACTCCACCCCAGTCCCTTCCTCCAAGCGAAATAAATAGCTTGGGCACTAAAAAAAGCCAGCAACAGGGAAAAGGGGAGGGGATCGCTGAAGGGCTAAGGAGTGACCCTGGGCGGGGGGGGGGGGGGGGGGGCCAGACACACAGACGGCGGGGGGGGGGGGGGTGTGTTACACTGCCATGGGTTCACCTTCTGGGGCCTTGGGGATCTCGGGAGGGGTAGGGGAGGTTGTCTGTTCTCTCACACAGCTAGGTGAGCCGGCTCTCCAGGGCACCGAGTGCCAAGTCCCCGCTGCTCCCATTGGTGATGGGACGGATATGAGAGACGGAGTCCTTGCTCCAGTCCCCGACTGCTACCGGGGTGGGGGACAGGTCCCTGCTCCAGTCTCAGGGTTGCACAAAGCTGGGGTCCTGTTCTCTGTCCCAGTCCCGGGGTTGCACGGAGTTGGGATCCTGTTCCCTGTCCCGGGGTTGCACGGAGCTGGGGTCGGGTCCCTGTCCCGGTCCCGGGGTTGCACGGAGCTGGGGGTCTGGTTCCCTTGCCCCGGGGTTGCACGGAGCTGGGGGTCCGGTTCCCAGTCCCGGGGTTGCACGGAGCTGGGGGTCCGGTTCCCTTGCCCCGGTCCCGGGATTAGACGGAGCTGGCGGGGACCTACCTGCGACCTGAGAACCGGGCGCCCGAGACGCTCCACGCGGCGCCGCCTCCCGGGAGCAGGAGCCCGAGGCAGAGCAGCGTCCAGGCCCGCGGGCCGCCCATGCTGTCGTCCCGCCGCAGCCGCGGGCGCGCAGAGCCGGTTCCGGGCGGAGCAGGGCGGGGGCGCTCGGCTTCGCCCGCCCCTCGCCCCCCGCCCCCGCCAACCCGGAAGCCGTCCGCGCCCCCGCCAGGACGCCCTCCAGGTGTCCACCTGCGCCGCAGGCCGGGAAACAGAGGCCCTGGCCACGTCCCTCCCCTCTCTACCTCCGCCGCAGCCAGGACCCGAACCCACCACTCCTGAGTGACCGCGCCCCGACGCACTCCCTCTGACATCTTTGCGGAACCGGGTTCCCGAAACACGCGGGATCCGCCCATCGACCCAACAAAGGCTCCCTGCGGGAGCTGTGCCATTGTCCCGGGCATCTCCCCCGGTACAGCCTGCCCTAGCTGAAGCTTTTCATCACTCCGTGCTGGGCCGGCAAAGTTGTCCGTGTTGCAGTGAGAAACCCAAGGCCCAGGCACCCCCTGGGCGCCCCGGCTTTACGGGAAGACACTATGGCCCAGATCATAGGCAGAGTCACCCTAGAGCCACAAAGCCCTCATCTCAGTGTTGGGGGTCTCTTAAGCACAAATATAGACACCGTTTTGGTATGGGCCTCAGTTTCCCATTCCGTAAGGGTAGGATTCAGGCCGAGAGGGCCTGGGTAGGATTCAGGTAGCTCCGTGAGGCATAGCAGGGGTGTGTTTGTGTGAGCAGCAGGCTATGCAGACGTGATAGGATGTTCGTGTGCATGCACGGTGCTGTATGCGTGTATGGGCTAGATCTGTGTGTGCGTGATGTGTTTGTGTGCACGGGCAGTATCTGCTTATGTACGTCATAGCTGACTGTGTCATGTATGTATGTGGTGGCCGTGTGTGCATGTGTGTGTGCATGTGAGATGCTTGTGTGCCTGCATGTCATGTTTATGTACACAGGTGCATATGATATATGTGTGTGTATGTAGAATGGGTTTTGGTTTTGTTTCAGTTTTTGTTTTCCTTTGTCTGTTTGTTTTGAGATGTTACACAGTCCTGGCTTGGTCTAGAACTCATTATATAGATTGGACTGGCTTTCAGCTCACAGAGGTCTGTGTGTCTGTGTCTGCCTCTGCCTCCTGAGTACTGGGTTCCACACGGAGCCCAGCGCTAGCATGTATTTTTGAGAGTAGTGTGTGCCGCCCCGTGAGAGCAGAGTTACCATCAAGGGAACCGCCAGAAGAGTGTCCACTACTCGCCCCTCGGGGTGAGCCGCCTAGGTCAGGGAATCTTTGTCCAGCTCAGCTGTGCCTGGTGCCGTCGTCCTGTGACCTCTGCAGGACACAGAACGGTCTGATTCCTGGGATTGCCTCTCCTGGACCCGTGGCTCAGAGCAGGTCCTGGGCTAGACTCCGAACCAGGACATAGCCAGAGTCCTCCGTAGAGTGAGACAGACCCCCATCGCTGTCTCCAAGGGGCCAGGCAGCAGTTGCTGTTTAAGCCCTGTCTCTTGACAGCTCTGCCCACACGGTTTACGTGAGTCCTTCCTGCGGTGGAGCCTCAGTTTCTTATCTGGTCCTTATAGGTCTTTGGCAGGATTATGATGTCCCTACTTCTCTAGCTCTCCAGACCTCCCAGCTTCTTCCAAGGGCATGGCCACTGGCCTAAGCTGGCCCCATAGGGATGCCAGCCTCCCTTCACCGAGGTTGTTGGGACTTGGTGTGTGCTGTCTTCTGAAATCAGTCAGCCCTTTGCCTCCCTGGCTAGGCCTTGGGGTTTTTGCCACAGGTTGATCAGCAACTTGATTCAGCCCCTACATACTCATCCCACTGAAGGCCCAGGTCTGTCTGAGGCTCCGCTCAAGCGGCCCAGATCAAACCACAGCACTCCAGAGGCACTGTAGAGAGCAGGCTGCCATGCTTCCAACCTGGAGGAAGGCAGCGGGAGGCCCCAGCAGCTGGTAGCAGGGCATCTGAGGCCCTCCTGTGTGCTAGGACGTCCGTGTTCCTTAACTGATCACAAAAACACACAGACACTCCCCGCAGCTCCGCACGACCCCTTTCCTGGCGAGAGCCCCAGTAAAAGCCTCTCAGCATTTCTCCACAAGGAAGAGCCTGACTTGCTGAGGCTGGAATATTGATTTATAACACAACCAAAGCTGTTTTGTGCCCATTGAGAACTGTGTGACCAGAGACAGGTCCCTTCCCCCCATCTGGGAAAGTCCGGCTTTGGCTTCTCTGAGGTGGTCCTAGGCTTTGAAGCTGATGTGACAGTGACAGAGGTCTCTCTGGTTCTTGCTCCAGAGGTATGGAAAGGCAGGATGTGTCTCTAGGGATGGGCTGTTGGTTTAGCGGGGGTTCTAGTGTTCACTGAGCCCAGGCGAGCGGCAGCTGGCTTGAGAGAGTCTTAAGGCCTGTGTCTGGAGCTGGAGCTTCCCCGCAGGAGCCCACTGGTCTCCTTGCCTGCCAATACCAGACCATAACTGCCAGCAATGAGCAGCTCCCGCTGTCTTCCAGGGCCCCAGGCTGACCACAGGCCAGGCTCTGCCACCCGGGAGGCAGCATTTTGTCCCCACGTGTGGGGCTCAGGGCTCCTGGAGAGTGATGGGTGACCCTGTGCTACCAACTAACCAGTATTCTCTCCTCCAGCCGAATCCCACAGGAGGCCCCTTTGAGGTGAGGGAAGTTGGCACAAACTTGGGCTCCCATCTGGAGGCTGAAGAGGACTGAGCACATGCAGACATGCAGGGACCTGGATCTAAACACTTAGGAGCCAACACACACACACACACACACACACACACACACACACACACACACACGCAGGAACCTCCTAGATCTGGCCATGGGGTAAAGAGAACAACCATCCACCCAGACTTTTCCAAACAGGAAATGCTTTTGTCCCAAACAAACCTGGGCCATGGCCTTTTTCCTCTGGGAACTCCATCTGGACCTCAGCTCGGGACTGTACCCTCACCCCGCTGTGTCCCATGAGACAGCCTCCCAGCTCAGCTCAGGACTGCACCCTCACCCCGCTATGTCCCATGAGACAGCCTCCCAGCTCAGGCTGCTCCAAAATGTCAGTCCCCAGCAGCAGGGCACTCAGCCCTTCCGTCAGGGAGGGCTGGCTGTGACCTGGCCTGGGTTGGGGGGCACTCAGAGCCCACAGGCTGCAGACGCCCGCAGTTATTTTCTCTTCTCACCCAGCTGAGGCGGGCAGGCAGGGGAAGGAAACTGTCCGGGAAATCGTAAATTAGAACGGGGTCTTCCCACCCTTCTCTGGAATCCTCCAGAGATGCAGCCTGGGCCTTTTTGGGGTGGTAGACAAAGTATAAATCACAAGGAAGCCTCACGGGACAGGGAGTCTGCACGGGGGGGGGGGGGGGGGGGAGCGGCGGGCTGTCAGTCATCCACAGGGCCCCCTCCAGCCTCAGTTTCTCCATCTGGAAGACACAGGTTACAGAAGGACTTGGAATGTCTTGTGACTGTGGGTTTTTCGGGTTTTTTTTAGCTACGAGGGGGTGAAGATGGGAGAGGCCTTCCCAACAATGTCAGTTTCCCCCTCTCCCGAGGTGTCTTTCCCTCCGCCTGTGTCCTCCACGGACCAGTCTGCCTGCGTCTCTGCCTTCCCTGGCGTTCCTTACACTGCTTCCCTTTTCACTCCAGTTGCCCGCAAGAGAGGGCTGAGGAGGTCTCATGACGTAGCATTCAATGTATGAGTAGCGAGACGAGCTTTTTGTGCACCCACACTGCAGTGTAAGCATGCATTTATAAAGACTATTAATTAATTAATACTGATGTACTTAATGGCATTTAAAGTTGGCACGAAGGCGCGCATTCACCGAGATTCCACCTGATTTAAATCCTAAGCCGATGGTGACAGGGTTAGTCAGAAACTGTGCTCACCAGGGGCCTAAAAGTGTCTTCTGCAGTATGGAAAGGTATCCATATCCCAGGTCCAATGAAGTCAAGACCCCCTCCTCCTGGATGCATCTCAAATGAAGGCCTTGGGCCCCGAAACTTACCTGGGTATGGAAGAGTAAAGGGCAAGCATGAGGGAATGCTCACACCAGAGAGCCTGAAGTTGCTGGCCATGTCAGTCTCAGCTGCCGCTGAGTATGGTCCTGAGCTCCTTCTCCACCTGACTCTCCCGTGCCTGTGCGTGTGTGTGTGTGTGTGTGTGTGTGTGTGTGTGCATGTGTGCAGGTGTGTGTGACTGGTTTTCATCACTGAGTGGAGGCTCTGAGAGGAATGAAGAAAAGTCGCAGAAAGTGACCAGAGACTCCGAGAAGGAGAGGGCTGTAACACAGGCCCCTGGGAGATGGAGGCAGGAGGAGCAGGGGTTCAAGGCCGGCCAGGGCTACATGAGACCCCTATCTCAGTCCCTATGCACACAGTAGAAAAAAAAGAAAAAAGAAAACAAAAGAAAGAAAGAAAGCCACAAAACACAGGTAGAGATGAAACGAGCTAGAAACACACAGATGAGGGAAGCGGGAAACAGGAAAAGGGACAGACACACAGAAAGAGGGGTGCTTGGAGGTGGGGACCCCACGTTGTTGGTGTCAGTTTCCATGGGAGCCTGGGGGCGGGGCCAGGGCGTTCGTCTGTCTGTCAGGACCACACAGGCTTTGGTTTCCCTTGACCCCTCCAGCTTAGGAGTTTGTCCCTCTCTGGCAGTGGCTCTGGATGCCTGGGGCTTGTTTGTGTCATCTCAGGGGACCCTGTGGGGAGACAAGCCACAGGAAATCTGAATCCCAGCTCAGGTCCTGGCCTGGGGAGGCAGGTGAGCAGCTGAATGGGTGATGTCCAGACCTGTGCTGCAGGCTCTCCCCCTCCCCTCTAGCTGGCAGGGCTGGCTTTGGGCCCTCTCTCTACTGGACTCTGGTTAGGTGCAGTCAGTCCACTGCACTCTGGGGACAGGGCTTTGGTCTCCGTGTTCTCTCCCTTGCCCCTGACATTCCAGTGCTTGGGATCCGTCTAAAGGCAGAGGAGCCATGTGAGGAGAGCCTTGCTCTGCCCCAGGAGACAGCCGCACACTTTTCCCCTCTA